TACGACGCCATCTTCAAAATTCGACTTTCCTTAAGTTGAGAGACCCATTTTATTAAGTATTAAAAACATAGAATTGCTTAACTAGAATTATTGCCATCTGTTTTAAAAAATGGTCTGTCTTGGTACTGGATAATAGTGTTTTTTATATTTTAATTATTTATATAAATAATCTATCCGATAAAAGTTGAAGAATTTTAACAGTTGATGAGTGTTTATGGTAGTTCATACAACACTGAATCCTATAATTGGTTTTGTCAAAAATGGGCAGATATTTTTAATAGTTGTTTATAAGTAAAAAGTAATAATCAGAGCAAATCAACAATATGCAATATATATATATATATATATATATAAATATATATAATTAAATTTTGAGCCATTTAATAAATTTTCATATTTTTGTTTGTTTCTTTAACAAAATTTGTAATGCATATAAAAAAAAATCTTTTAAATACCAAGTACATATCGTCACCTGAATGCAAAAAGACGTCATGGCGGAATTATTGCTCCTTGAAAAGACGTAACAAGCATCGGCGCTGAAATACAAAATGTCCTAACTTCTAAAAAATTCAAAATTCAGTTTTTGATTGATATGATGGATTTCATCGAAGTACAACTCCCACATAAATAAAAAATATTACTCACGACTTTTTCCATTTCATTGACGATGTTGTTACATCTTTTTGCATTTCAGGTCACGATATATAGGTATATTTGTGTATACTTATCGCAATTGTAATATTAAATGGGCAGGATGTATTGTCGCCACCAATGCAAAATACCCTAAATGCAAAGTTTCATAGCAAAAGCTGTGAACTGATTAAATAAACATAAAAAATGCCCTCAGAATTATTCTAATAAAGCTTGTATTTGGAAGATATCACCATGACTTTTAGCACGGAGGCATATTTGGAAAAAAAATATAAAGGACTAAATATAAGAATTTATCTCGAAAAATGCCTATTACAGCCCTTCGCATTGGTACCCACCATGCAAAACATGAGAGGCAACAATCGTCAATGGCAACAAATTGGCGACTCACCGGTTTATTGCTGTGGTGACAAAGCGGCAACAACATTTCTTTCATGTCAACTTTGGAATAAATAAGTTATCAAAAATTCCTAAGCTTATAAATTTCGCGTTGATAGTATTATCCAAAATCGTCTAATTTTTACCAGGGACACAATTGAAAAAATAGGAAGCCCCATAGGGAAAGAAAGAATTATTTCTGTTTCTATATAAGCTCCAATTTTGTAT